AGGGGCTTCTCAGTGTTGAGTTTGAGATGAAGGATTTGGGAGCTGCTCAGAAGATCTTGGGTATGGAGATTTACAGGGACATGTCGAATAATAAGCTTTTCTTGTCACAGAAGAGCTACATCCAGAAGATATTGTCGAGGTTTGGCATGTCTTCAGCAAAGCCCTTAAATACTCCTAGTGCTTCAAATGTTCATCTATCCTCAGCTTATGCACCGCAGTCAGAGGCTGAGAAGGAGTACATGTCAAGAGTCCCATATGCTAGTGCAGTAGGTAGCTTGATGTACGCTATGGTATGCACTAGACCTGATCTTGCACATGCTGTTAGTGTTGTCAGCAGGTTTATGATACAACCTAGGAAGGAGCATTGGCAGGCTGTGAAGAGGATCTTCCGGTACCTTAAGGGTACACCTGATGTGGGGATTAGCTTCGGAAGTGATACAGAGTGCTTGGTGTCTGGGTATTCTGACTCGGACTATGCAGGAGATGTTGACACGAGGAGATCGATAACTGGTTATGTATTCACTCTTGGGAGTTCTGTAGTGAGCTGGAAGGCAACTTTGCAGTCGGCGGTGACATTGTCTACCACTGAGGCAGAGTATATGTCGTTGACAGAAGCTGCTAAGGAGGGAATATGGTTGAAGGGACTGGTTGGTGATCTTGGTCTACATCATGATCAGGTAGTGGTGTATTGCGACAATTTGAGTGCAATATGCTTGGCCAAGGATCAAGTCCACCATGAGAGGACTAAGCACATCAATGTGAGGTATCATTTCTTGAGGACAAAAGAGGATTAAGGTGAAGAAGGTTGGCACAGCGGATAATCTTGCTGATATGTTCACGAAGTCGGTTCCACATGGCAAGTTCCAACACTGCTTGGATTTGCTGAATGTCTTGAGTGGGTGACTCCGCCCTGCGGGGCATTGATGGCGGGAGAGAGAGAGAGAGAGAGAGAGAAGTAGCAGAGTACACCATAGATTTCAGAGGAAGAGGATTCAAGTTAAGGTGGAGATTTGTTGATGTAACTTGAATCGGACTATTGATAGACCAGTGATTACACATGTTTTTATCCCTATTCTTGATTCTTGAGCCGTTTGAGATGTCGATTCCCGTGTTTTAGGACGATTTCACGCTAGGGTGTTCTTGTTTGTGATATTTCAGGTCCTAGTACGTGAATGAAGGTTTAGGAACGAGTTCGGGGTCGATTGGACAAAGATCGGACGCGTGGCGAGTCGCTGAGGAAGTCACACGGGCACACACAAAACCCACACGGCCGTGCAAGCAATCAATGTGGCCGTGTGGGATTGTGCGAGCCTTCACACGGGCAGGAATAAATCCCACACAGCCGTATCATGAACCAAAGTGGCCGTGTGGAATTTTGCGAGGCTTCACACGAGCAGACTGGAGGCTCCACACGGCCGTGTGCCCCTGGCCGTGTGGGAAGCCTGAAGTCACTTAACGAAACGCCGCGTTTTTCAAAGCCACACGGGCAGCTGGGCAAGTCACACGGCCGTGTGACATGGCCGTGTGAGTTGGGATTTTTTGGTTTTAAGCCAATTTCCAGCCACATGTGAGGGGGATTCGAGTTTTAGAGAGACAGAGCGATTCCTACAGAGAGAAAGCGACGAACAAGAGTTCCCAAGTGCCCTAGCTTGATCTTCATCACCATTGGAGCTTGGCTTGAGCTTGGAGGAGTGACGATCCATCCTTCAAAGTATGGTTTCCGCATCTGAATCTGCTTTTGCCTCTTTCTCCATGGAGAAGTTCTCACATTCATCTGGGTATGGGAAACCCTAGATTTGTATGTTAGGTTTGATTATATGAACCCAAGTACAGATTCTATGATTTGATTATATTCAATTGAGGTTTGAATGATTGAATGGCAAGAATCCTGATCAAATTCCTGTTGTTTCTGCTTTAACCTAGAATGAGAATATCTGCCTAGGTTGATAGAGCACCCTTAATTGAAGGTAGTGAATTGGCGACTTTAGTCGAGGAACCAATTCACTATTCTGTACCGAATTTACTTCGGCAGTGGAGGTTTTGTTCGTTAGGGCCTCAATCTGTTTACTCCGGAGGAGGTTAGTCGCCCGTTAGAGACTCAGATTGAGAGGGTGTAACACCCCGTTTCGGCAAAACCCATATTTCGATCGCTAGAAAATTTCACGATTTAAAATCGAGCATTTCGACACTATTTTGAAGCAGAGCAACACGCAGAGCTCCGGGGAAAAATTTTCGTAGCTCGATTCTTGAGCTACACTGATCCAAAAATCCCGTAAGTAATGCCTAATTCATCTATTCATCGTGATTTATCGATTTAGAGCTTTAAAACGAGTTTTTGGTTCAGGAATTTCTTGAATTCCCGATAAGCCAAATTAGGGTTTCGGAGTATCCGGAAGCCGGATTGAGCCCAAATTTCATATACGAGCTTCCTGCAGCGAGGTAATCAATCCTCTAGTCCTAATCCCTGAATTTCGTCTATTATTTAGGCCGGGGTCCAAACCGCTGAATTTAGCTCCGGCCAGGGTTTGATTTGTTTTTATCAAGAATTTGACCCGGAGCCTAGAACTAATATCGACGGGGATACTGCAGAGGATATTAGGACGGTCTCGGATTTTAATTTGGGGTTCGTTTGTGAAATTGACGTTTTAGTACGGGAAGGTTAAACCGGTGTTTGAACGACCAGAACTGGTGAGGGATTAGCACGGCATACCGGGTTTGTCGTATCACGATAATTATATTGATGCTTAGAATTGATCTAGGTGAACTAGAATGGCATGATTAGGGGTGTATGAACTTTTGTGCTATATGTTGAACTCTGGATTGTTGTATGATATTATTGACTTGCCCTAATCGATATGAACCCTGTTTATGCTGATGATTTCGTATATGTTGCAAATTGTGGGCTTGACTGTGGATATGCCTTATGATGGTTCGAAAAGGTGATTGGGTATGAGTTTTCATGATTGTTGTATTTGGATGCACATGTGGGAAAATATATATTCCCTGGTGATATTATGACGTTTAAGGAGGATGACTTGCACGAGGGTTTATCCCGAGGAAGTGCAATTATACTACTCCTGATTTACCTATGTTGAGCCAATTATGGCCAGGTCAAGTACATGTGCAAGTAATGAATTATGATTAAGCAAGATGAGATATGAATCATGTATAAGGATACCAAATATGAGTGTTGTGGTCTCACGGTCAACTAAATAGTAATTAGGGCTCCCTATGCTATTACTCTATTATGATATGTATGATAGTCACACCCCTCATGTGGTGGTGACTGAAGAATTTTTATGAGATATGACCACACCCAGAGCGGTGTCGGGGTATGACTACACCCATAGTGGTGTGGGGTATGTATGACCACATCCGACGGGATGTTGGGGTATGTATGACTACATCCGACGAGATGTGGGGTATGTTTCCCGGGAGAGTTATTAGCATGGGAGTAGCCAGGCGCCTATGATTAAAACATGATAAGATGCATATGCATAAGCCAAGGTGGTTGAGTCTTTTGCCTATTGGGATGTTGGAGGGCTGAGATCTGATCCCAGTGCTTTGGCTTGTTTGTTAGATGTATGGTAGGGGTATGCTCTGTTATGAACTCACGATGCTATGATTATCTCACTAAGCTATGAGCTGACCCTCTTTTATTCTTCTTCTTTGCTTATGCTATGTGTAAGAATATCATGAGCAGCAGCAGTAGATAGGTGTATAGGTGGGAGCTGAGCAAGAGTTGAAGGCAAGATGAGGTATGGTCTTCAACCATTCTGTGCTTGGACTACTACTCGGGATTTTGGCCAGTGATCCACACCTTTTTTGTAAAATTGTTTTGAGAACGTTTTTCATGTGCATACTAGCTTCTGATCTAGTGTGAGATATCCACAGGTGTGGAAAGTTAATGATATGTGTATATGTTGTGTAACTGTGTAAGTTGTGACGATTATGGTATGTATAAGTATGGTATGCAGTTAGGAAGTATGAAAAGTGTGACTATGGCTAAGGAAAGCCAATGCATATGGTTGTGAGTATATATGTTTGTGATGAATTATTTTGCAGGATAAGTTGCAAGAACTGTTAGCCCATTACGCGAGTAATTCATGTCGAAATTTTATTTAGGTAAATTTTGATAATTAATGTAACACCCGAGATTAATTCCACTGCAATTGTATGAACAATATGATTAGGCAAAACGTATAGGGTAGGGTGTTACAGTTTGGTATCAGAGCCTGGTTCCCTCTTTTTGCTGTTATGGCGTACTATACCCTATGGGAGGTTAAACACTCCTAAGGAGGGGAGTACCCCATAATGACTTAAACTGGGAATTGAGTTTTACATGATTATGTGTATTGGTATGTTGGATGAAATTATCTGCATCATGGTTTTCAAAAATTGAGTTTTGAACTTTTTTGTTTTCAAGTAATTATTTTGGGAAATTTTTTTGTTTTAACCAAGTAAGAGAGTGGGTGAAGAATGAATTTTGTGTGGATCAATCTAAGGCCAATATTTCCTTGTAGTTCGCACGGAAGTTGTGAAAATGTTCCTACTGACCAGTCGAGAGGAGTGGGGGCGGTTGATGCAAGACCGCCAGTATTAGACTATGCAAAGATGAAGAGTTTGGGTGGTAGGGCCTTTAAAGGAGATGTGAGTCCGGATGCTGTGGTAGAGTGGTTGAGAGAGATGGAAGATGTGTTTGAATATCTTTATGCGACCCCAGAGGAAAAAGTGCAATATGTTGTTTTTCTCCTAAAGGGGTACGCGAGGAGCTGGTGGTCCTCAGTCTTAGAGTTAATGGTGAACGAGTTCAGTTCACCTGGGAGGAGTTCCTGAAGGCCTTTAAGACAGAGTTTCTTCCCGAAGCTTTTATCAGGGCAAAGAACAATGAATTCGCCAACCTTAAGCAGGAGAATATAACAGTTACTGAGTACACCATCAAGTTTGTTCGACTACTTTACTTCGAGGATGGGTTGGCGGATACTGAGCATAAGAAGAAGATGAGATACTTACATGGTCTACGCCTAGGGTTGAAAGAAAAGATTCACAGGGTTGATGAAGAGAGTATGGCCACTATCAAGGAGGCAGCACTTAAGTATGAAGCCTATGAAGTTGAGGGTAGAGAGGAACACAAGGCCAAAGAAGAGGAGAAGAAGAGGAAGTTTGGAGTGAGTTATGTTGGACCTCGTTACCCACCCAGGAGAGGTCCTAGCAGTTTTGGGAGAACACAGAGTCAATCTATGTCGGGAACATCATACAGGGCACCAATTTCCTCAGCCACACAATTTCCATTTTGTCAAGTTTGTCAGAAGAGACATCTTGGAGAGTGTAGGAGATTTTCTGGTGTATGCTTTCACTGTGGACAACCTGGGCATATCAGGAGGGACTGTCCGCATTCGAGAGAAGTAAGAGCTACACAGTCTGAGCCTTCAGTGCAAATTAGTAGAGCCCCATTCAGGGGTGGTTACCAGGGAGGTCGTAGTGGATTTCAGAGTGGTCGTGGTGGTTCACGGGGTGGTAGAGGTGGTGGTCGAAATCAGCCATCAGGAAGTGGTACGCAGGGTCCCAGAGCACAGGGAGCACCGAGGGTTTATGCAATGACCCGAGGTGAGGCAGAAGTGGCACCAGAAGTTGTGACTGGTATGCTTTCTATCATTGGCAAGAAATTATATGATTTAATCGATACTGGTTCCTCTCACTCATTCATGTCATATACGTTTGCACATATGCTACACTTAGTTCCATATAAGCTAGGTTATACCTTATGTGTTAAAAGACCTGTGGGAGATACCTTAAAGGTAGACTCAGTTATTAGAAGTTCCTTCATTTATGTGGAAGGAGCTTTCCTAGCAGCAGATTTAATTCTGCTACCTTTTGATGAATTTGATGTCATCCTTGGAATGGACTTTCTGGAAACACATGGAGCTGTTGTGGATTGTCAAAAGAAAGAAGTGTTATTCAACACACCAGATAAAGGTCATGTTGTATTCCGAGGCATTAAGAAAAAAGAGACTCATGGTTTTCTTTCTGCCTTGGAAGCTTTTCGATTAGTGAAGGAAGGTTGTGAAGCCTTTCTTGCTCAAGTTACTGTAGTAAATGATAAGAAGGTTGAGGATGTAGAGGTGGTAAGGGAGTTTCCTGATGTATTCCCCGAAGAACTTCCCGGCCTTCCACCAGAAAGGGAAATAGAGTTTGATATTGAATTGGTACCTGACACAACACCAATTTCAATGACACCATATAGAATGGCACCAATTGAACTGAAGGAGCTTAAAGAACAATTGCAAGAATTGCTAGACAAGGGTTTTATTCGACCTAGCATCTCACCTTGGGGTGCACCGGTTTTGTTTGTCAAGAAGAAAGATGGCTCCATGAGAATGTGCATTGCCTACCGGAGGTTGAATAAGGCGATAGTGAAGAATCGTTATCCCCTTCCAAGAATAGATGATTTGTTTGATCAATTGCAGGGTGCATCAGTCTTTTCTAAGATTGATTTGAGGTCTAGATACCATCAACTGAAAGTGGCAGATGGAGCGACCTCAAATACAGCTTTTAGAACAAGATATGGGCATTATGAGTTTCTGGTAATGCCTTTTGGACTCACTAATGCGCCAGCAGTATTTATGGCTCTTATGAACAGAGTTTTCCATGAATATCTTGATAAGTTTGTGATTGTGTTCATAGATGATATTCTCATCTATTCTAAAAGCGAGGAGGAGCACAAAACTCACCTTAGAATTGTGTTGCAGATTCTAAGAGAGAAACAATTATATGCAAAATTTTCAAAATGTGAATTTTGGCTGAAGGAGGTAATATTTATGGGACATATAATTTCTGGAAGAGGTGTCGAGGTGGATCTGAAAAAGGTGGAAGCAGTGGTGAGTTGGGCTCCACCAAAAGATGTGTTGGAGTTGAGAAGTTTTCTTGGCATGGCTGGTTATTATCGGCGGTTTGTCGAAGGATTTTCTAAAATTGCTGCACCATTGACTAAATTGTTGAGGAAGAATACCAAGTATGTTTGGGATGAATCATATCAAAAGAATTTTGATGAACTGAAGAAGAAATTGACCACAGCACCAGTACTGGCTTTACCTTCAAACTATGGAGAGTTTGTGGTGTATAGTGATGCCTCATATCAAGGACTGGGTTGTGTGCTAATGCAAGATGGAAGAGTTATCGCATATGCCTCTAGGCAATTGCATCCTCATGAAGTAAATTATCCCACTCATGACGTAGAATTGGCAGCGGTGGTATTTGCTCTCAAGATTTGGTGACATTATTTGTATGGTGAGACTTTTAAAATACTAACTGATCACAAAATCTTGAAGTATATTATGGATCAGAAGGATTTAAATAGTCGCAAGAGGAGATGGATAGAGTTGTTGAAAGATTATGATTGTACCATTGATTACCATCCAGGTAAAGCTAATGTAGTTGTTGATGCTTTGAGCAGAAAAGGCAAGAAGAATATAACGGATCTGGTTGATTTGAGGGCAATGATTGTTGATTTGGAAGTAGATGGTGTGACAGGGTTACTAGCTCGGTTGAATATTCGACCTTTGTTGCATGACAAAATTCATGAGAAGCAGAAGGAGGACCCAGAGTTGGCAAAAATCATTCAAGACATTGGGGAAGGAAAAGAAAGCCCATTTGAAATGGTAGATGGCATGTTGAAGATGAATGGAAGAGCATGTGTTCCTAATGTTGATAACTTGAGGAAAGAGATCCTAGATGAAGCTCATTCTTCTGCTTATGCTATGCACCCAGGAGCAACTAAAATGTATCACACGATCAAACCATATTTTTGGTGGCGTGGGATGAAAAAGGAAGCGGCTGAACATGTTTTCACATGTCTAGTATGTCAGAAAGTTAAGGGAGAACATCAAGCTCCCGTGGGAAAACTGCAGCCACTTCCAATTTCAGAATGGAAGTGGGAAAGAATCACAATGGATTTTGTATATGGTCTCCCATCATCAAGGGGAAAAGATGCAGTATGGGTTATTGTGGACCGACTGACCAAATCGGCTCACTTTTTACCCATCAGATGGAAACCATCACTGGAGACTTTGTCTCAACTATATATTAAGGAGATCGTCAGATTGCATGGTGTGCCAATTTCTATTGTCTCTGATCGAGACCCAAGCTTCACATCTCGGTTTTGGCAAATTTTACATGATGCCTTGGGAACTAAACTGCATTTTACTTCAGCTTATCATCCTCAAACAGATGGGCAGAGTGAACGAACCATCCTTACCTTGGAGGAGTTACTTCGATCATGTGTAATGCAATGGGAGGAATCATGGATTGACCATTTGCCCCTGATTGAGTTTGCTTACAACAATCAGTACCATAGTAGTTTGGGTGTCCACCATATGAAGCACTTTATGGGAGGAAATGCAGGACACCATTATGTTGGGATGTAGAAGGAGCAAGGCAAATCTCAGGGCCAGAGATAGTTCAGATCACAGTTGACAAGGTCAAGGAAATCAGGGAGCGTTTGAGGGTGGCTCAAGATCGACAGAAAGTTTATGTTGACACGAATAGGCGTGAAGTTAATTTCGAAGTGGGTGAGAAAGTATTTCTCAAAGTGTCACCCTGGAAAGGCGTAATGAGATTTGGTAAGAAAGGGAAACTTGCACCTCGGTATATTGGGCCATATGAAATCACAGAGAAGATTGGACCAGTGGCTTATAAGTTAGCATTGCCTCCAGAACTATCTCAAATCCACAATGTATTTCATGTTAGTATGCTGAAGAGGTACAAAGTGGATCCTTCCCATGTTATACAACCAGAAGAGATCGAGTTGGGTCCAGATTTAACTTTTGAGGAGGTTCCAGTTGAGATTGTTGATTACCAGATTAAGAATCTTCGTAGGAAGGAAATTCCAATGTTGAAGGTTGTGTGGAGGAATCAAGAAAGTGAGAGTGCTACCTGGGAGACTGAAGCAAGTATGCGAGAGAAGTACCCTGAGTTGGTAGCGACATACTTTGCAGGTTAACAATCTTGCTTAATAAGTTATGTTTTGAACTTGTTTATGTGCTTTTGTTGTGATAACCCAATATAGGTTTTTGAAACCTTATATTGGGAACTTGAGGTGTTATGTGTTTAGTTATGTAATTCAGATCTCCTAACCTAAGAGTTAGGTAATGGTTTATCTACGATCGATCATGTTAAGGATAAGTAAGCAGACTTAAGGTATGACTCAAGGATAGATTTCGGGGACGAAATCTTTTTAAGGAGGGGAGAATTGTAACACCCCGTTTCGGCAAAACCCATATTTCGATCGCTAGAAAATTTCACGATTTAAAATCGAGCATTTCGACACTATTTTGAAGCAGAGCAACACGCAGAGCTCCGGGGAAAAATTTTCGTAGCTCGATTCTTGAGCTACACTGATCCAAAAATCCCGTAAGTAATGCCTAATTCATCTATTCATCGTGATTTATCGATTTAGAGCTTTAAAACGAGTTTTTGGTTCAGGAATTTCTTGAATTCCCGATAAGCCAAATTAGGGTTTCGGAGTATCCGAAAGCCGGATTGAGCCCAAATTTCATATACGAGCTTCCTGCAGCGAGGTAATCAATCCTCTTGTCCTAATCCCTGAATTTCGTCTATTATTTAGGCCGGGGGTCCAAACCGCTGAATTTAGCTCTGGCCAGGGTTTGATTTGTTTTTATCAAGAATTTGACCCGGAGCCTAGAACTAATATCGACGGGGATACTGCAGGGGATACTAGGACGGTCTCGGATTTTAATTCGGGGTTCGTTCGTGAAATTGACGTTTTAGTACGGGAAGGTTAAACCGGTGTTTGAACGACCAGAACTAGTGAGGGATTAGCACGGCATACCGGGTTTGTCGTATCACGATAATTATATTGATGCTTAGAATTGATCTAGGTGAACTAGAATGGCATGATTAGGGGTGTATGAACTTTTGTGCTATATGTTGAACTCTGGATTGTTGTATGATATTATTGACTTGCCCTAATTGATATGAACCCTGTTTATGCTGATGATTTCGTATATGTTGCAAATTGTGGGCTTGACTGTGGATATGCCTTATGATGGTTCGAAAAGGTGATTGGGTATGATTTTTCATGATTGTTGTATTTGGATGCACATGTGGGAAAATATATATTCCCTGGTGATATTATGACGTTTAAGGAGGATGACTTGCACGAGGGTTTATCCCGAGGAAGTGCAATTATACGACTCCTGATTTACCTATGTTGAGCCAATTATGGCCAGGTCAAGTACATGTGCAAGTAATGAATTATGATTAAGCAAGATGAGATATGAATCATGTATAAGGATACCAAATATGAGTGTTGTGGTCTCACGGTCAACTACATAGTAATTAGGGCACCTTATGCTATTACTCTATTATGATATGTATGATAGTCACACCCCTCATGTGGTGGTGACTGAAGAATTTTTATGAGATATGACCACACCCAGAGCGGTGTCGGGGTATGACTACACCCATAGTGGTGTGGGGTATGTATGACCACATCCGACGGGATGTTGGGGTATGTATGACTACATCCAACGGGATGTGGGGTATGTTTCCCGGGAGAGTTATTAGCATGGGAGTAGCCAGGCGCCTATGATTAAAACATGATAAGATGCATATGCATAAGTCAAGGTGGTTGAGTCTTTTGGCTATTGGGATGTTGGAGGGCTGAGATCTGATCCCAGTGCTTTGGCTTGTTTGTTAGATGTATGGTAGGGGTATGCTCTGTTATGAACTCACGATGCTATGATTATCTCACCAAGCTATGAGCTGACCCTCTTTTATTCTTCTTCTCTGCTTATGCTATGTGTAAGCAGATCATCAGCAGCAGCAGTAGATAGGTGTATAGGTGGGAGCTGAGCAAGAGTTGAAGGCAAGATGAGGTATGGTCTTCAACCATTCTGTGCTTGGACTACTACTCGGGATTTTGGCCAGTGATCCACACCTTTTTTGTAAAAATGTTTTGAGAACGTTTTTCATGTGCATACTAGCTTCTGATCTAGTGTGAGATATCCACAGGTGTGGAAAGTTAATGATATGTGTATATGTTGTGTAACTGTGTAAGTTGTGACGATTATGGTATGTATAAGTATGGTATGCAGTTAGGAAGTATGAAAAGTGTGACTATGGCTAAGGAAAGCCAATGCACAGGTTGTGAGTATATATGTTTGTGATGAATTATTTTGCAGGATAAGTTGCAAGAACTGTTAGCCCATTACGCGAGTAATTCATGTCGAAATTTTATTTAGGTAAATTTTGATAATTAATGTAACACCCGAGATTAATTCCGCTGCAATTGTATGAACAATATGATTAGGCAAAACGTATTGGGTAGGGTGTTACAGAGGGTCTGGAGACCTTTAGTCAAGACTTTAGACTGTTTAAGAACCTTCCGCAGTATAACTATCATAGAAACTGAACTTGGTAATTGCAATCCGGCTTAACTGCAGTCTAGGGAGAACCATATCCGGGTTGACATTAAAACCCAAACCCGCTATACTACGCTTTAGTAAGTGGTTTCAGTTGGCCATTTTCTAGAGTGACAGTAGGAGTGAGTCAAGTTTTTGGCGCCGTTGCCGGGGACGGCTAGGTTGTTGAAGAAAAGTGATTTCTGTTAATTTAGCTTTTCTTGTCGCATTGTTTGCTTTGTCCCACTTGTGCCTTCACGGGTTTGCTTGCTTGAGTGTGTGCAGGTAGTGCATGACCCATAGCCAGTCGGGAGGTTTACTGCCGTAGAATCCAGAGATTGAACGCACCTGTCGCCAACTCAGGAGACAACAACGAGCTAGACTGGCTACGGAGGAGCGCATAGACGGCCACTTGAGCAGCGATTCTGAGGAAGAGTACGAGATGGAAGGAGATTACAATCCACACCAGGGGAATCCTCAACAGGCTCCCCTGGTGAATCAGGTCTTGGGGAACAACCCCATACCACAGGTAGATGGGGTTCATCACCATCCACCGCCGCCGGGTCCCACCTTGGAGTACTACTACACTCCACGGATTGCTGACATCCGCCCGGTCCACCTATTCCAGCGAACAACTTCGATATCAAGCCATGCTGGATTCAACTCATTACATCCTCTATCCAGTTCCATGGCTTGAAGGATGAGGAGGCAAGGGTACATCTTTCCCGTTTTCTGCAGCTGACGAACGGGTTCAAGCTGAACGGTGTCCCTGATGATGCACAGGTACTACCCAGCATCGAAGACCACGGAGATCCAGCGGGAGATCACTCACTTCCGCCAAGAGCCAGACGAGT